GAGACCGAGCACTTCACATCAGTGCCACCCACGGCCTCCGTCTTCCCAGCAGCTCCTCAACACGTGGCATAACCACAGCTCTCTTCCCCGTTGGGCTTTTAATTACATTATAAAGTTACCCAAGGCTCGCACTGGCAGGTCATTAGCTTTCATATGAATTTAATTTAACCATAAACAACTCATCTCACTCTTTAGCAGCTCCTTAAATGTGGCTCCTTTTTATACTGTTAACTTTGCTACAACCACCCCAGAGAATTAATGGAGGCGCAGGCAGGTTGCCAGGGCTTTATTGCCCCCCTTGCCCTCCCAAAGGGCTCCTCTTCGTCCTCCTCCCCCTCAGCTACGCCCAAGACCGCGGTGCCCCGGCAGAGGAGGTGGCTGCAGGAAGGATGCTGGGTTGTCTGAAGGGGCCACCACGCCCCCAGTGACCTCCCTGACGCTTGCTGGCGTGCCACCACGGGGCTGGCTTGCTTGTGGACCAGCTGCCCATCGCTCCCCTCCCTGCCCCGGCCCTGTTGTCACTCCTCAGTCAGTGTTGGAGGTAGGTGGGCAGGAGGCCACGGAGAGGCCCCCGAGAGCCCTCCCTGCCTGCTCCCACCAGGAAAGCCCTGGCATTTATGAGGGATGCTGGGGCTGGACCTGGAAGCGCTAATCAGGAGTCAGAGCCTGGGAAAGCACCAACAGACAGCAGAACTGCAGCTTTGGATGTGCAGAGTGCCCAGGCTTGGGCACACAGAGTTTTGCTGGGTAAAAGCCCTGAAAGACGCCTGAATCCTCCAAAGGAAGGTCAGGAAAGCATCCCAAGCAGCTGTGCACCGTGCTGGTAAGAGAAGAAATGTACATTGAGGAGACATGGAACACTGGAGAAAAGGGGATCAAGCGAGGAATGAAACAATTATTGGTCTTCACGTGCTGAAAGGAGAAACCAGGGTAGAGAGCAGGTGAGGGCACTGCAACTGAGCAACGCAGAGGGTGTAACCTGAAGAGCTGAGGACTGAAAGGCCAGGCGAGGGGGGTAGAGGGATAACAGAAGCAGGTAACTGGATATGTAAACCACAAAAAGAAGCACAGAAACACACTAAACAAAGTGCAATAGATGTTAAATGCCAAGGTAAGGGCAATTAAGTAAGGCAACGGAGTTAGGAATGCTACAGCTGCAGCCGTCCCTTCTGCTTCGGGTGCTGGTTCGTCCCAGTTCGCAGCGGCTGCAGGACCAACAGGCATCTGGGGAGAGGGCGACTCCGCTCAGGGCATTTGGCGCGTATATGCAGAGCTGCTCTGATGCAGGCTGGTAATTTGGTTTTACAGGAGCGCACAGACTGACCCTACATCCCTCGTGCACTGAAAACAACATAGCCAGGTTGATCATCTTGCTGCCCCGTCCAGCTGTACATTAACACAAAGTCCACCACCCAGACACCTTGGACTCACTAACCATGAACCCTAGGACCAGTCTGCGGGGGACAAAAATTAAAAAACCCAGCTGGGAAGAGCAAATCGAGAACATGCAATTCAGAGAGCATTTTGACCTATAGTTGTAGTATCCATGAAGAGGCTAAACTGTTTTCTTGCCAGATTTGTCTGGTCTAGCTTTAGAAGCAACAATAGCTGCAGCAGACAGAGGTGGTGTAGGAGAGCAAGGAGTGCTGGGCAAGCAGCCGATGAACAGCCGGAGTGCCAGGTGCCACCGGCTGCAGCACCCCGCACGCAGGACCCGGCACAGCACGGCAGCAGGGCGGGAGAGCTGTCCTGGTGGCTGGGACAGTCAGGACCCACAGCAGAAGCAAGCGGGGAAGTCTATGAGATGGCTCCAAAAAGGAGCCTTATCCCTACTCATGCTTCTGTCATCTCGTACTGGCCACAGCCTCGAGGGGACAGAAATGCTGTCTCTGGGCTGTCACTTTAGCACAGAGCCACATGGTGGCTTTGGGGGGGGGGAGACAAGTTCTGCCCATTTTTACGGCCACCATGCCCTGCACCCCACCCCACAAGGCCACCCCCAGCCGCTGCGGAGCGCTGTGCTGCCGTGCACCCTCATCAGCACCCTTCGTGCTGGCCTCCCCCTTCCTTTAATCCTGGCCCCACCGCCGCAGCTGGGAACCCACAAGAGACAGAATGAGCACCACGCGGTGACACCGTGAAGAACACCTCGCTCCTGAGCTTGAACCAGCCCAGAGGGACACAGGCAGTGCTTTGCCTGAGGAAGCTTTGTGCCTGTGGCAGGAGCCACCTCCCCTTCTCAGGGGTGCATGAAACCTTTGGGTATTCCCTTGCTGATAAATCCATTTCCCTGTGCCACAAGGTCCCCACGTGGAGATGTGTGACACGGCAAGCGAAAGGCGCATGTATGAACGAGTTCTCACAGCATCTTGGACCTACCTGCCCCAGGGACCAGGCCCTGGTTTCCTGCCATCACCCTTCCAGCACCTTTCTGTGTGCTGCCATGGATGCGGCCCCGTGGCACACGCTGCTGGGCTGTCAGGCCATTCCTTCACATCTGGTATAAATCGTGTATCAGACAGGCAGCCTGTCACACAGAGGGGGTTACTGTATCCATGTCTTCCAGCGTAAAGCCACTCCAGGCCTACGAACGCTGGCGGGGAGCCAAGCGGCTGCACAAAATCAATCAGAAGCACTTAAGCATTGGCATTGCTTCCCCAGCACTGTAACCTGCCGAAGCGACTCCATCGTTCTTCAACCCCGGCAGCACCGGGCACCGACTGCAGCCTGACAGCTTATGAGCACCCAGGAATGAGCAGAGGTTGGAGATGATCACAGCTAAGGCTGCAAAACGGCTCCTGTGTTTAATTAACGAGTCTGACGAGAGCTGTTGAGACGAGCGGAGTGCGGCTTTGCACGCTGACCTGATCGCCTCCCGCGGGAGGCACGCCGGGAAGATGGCTGCGGAGACCTACAGCCCGGCTTGGGCTCTACTGCACCTCGGTAACTCATCAAGGAGACTGCCAAGCATTCGCTAAGGGAGCCCAAATGGGGGTTCTGGGACTGACCTGGGAGCCCGCGCTTGGCCCACACCGCTGGTGGCATGGCCGCAGGAGCTGCAGAGGTCTGGCAGCAGCACGTTCCGTGGGGAGGTTAGGTGGCACAAGGGTACAGGTGCGACTCGGGAGTTTTGGAATAAACAAGTCATCTCCTGCCCTAACCAAAGGCTGAAGTATTTTTAAGCCAAACAAAATAACTGCACAGGTGAGCTCACCACCTACTGAAGAGTCAAGATCTCCTCGGCCCACGTGCACTCTCCCTTCTCTCTGTCAGGATCAGCCAAGCAATTTAAAGCAAGAGGACAAACGACTTCTGAAAAGCCAGCCATCAGCTCAGATGTGCGAATTGGTTTCTGCTTGGCTGTAAGCAGGCTCCAGCTGTTTGGGCACAGCTGGGCCATCCCTGAGGTCTGGCGGGGGTCAGAGGTGTAGTGGAATGAGAAAGCAGTGCCCCACCGTAAGCCCTGAACAGCAGAGGGAACAGTGCCTGCGGTCCTTCTGGCACAGAGTCCACCGCTTCTGCTCACTTCATTAATTTAAGAATTGTGAGTGTGTGCCAGGAGGCTAAATGGTTCCGGTCCTCCCCTGCGTACAGAGCAAATGCATCCATCTTCCCCGAGCTCCCTCACAAAGGGATTAGTCAAAAATGATGCAAAATCTTTGCAGGTGAAGCCCAGCAGAGCAGTGGTTACCCACCGTATCACCAGGGCTGGATTGCACCGATTCTTAGCCACCACCAGGAATGGTTTTGCGCTGCTTTGACCCTCAGTACTGTTGCTTTTAGCTGTGTGGTGTGGATGACATCCATCACAGGCAGCAGACTGCACCCATCCTGCACGGAGGCATGGCAGCAGGGAGAAGCAGATCCCGCGGAAGGGATGCTCAGCCCCAAAGAGGGGGAGGCTGTCCTGGCACACATGTGCCAGTGGGCAGGGGAACCCTGGAAAACTGAGGACAACGCTAGAGTGGGAAACAGAATGCTGAAGCACCGATGTGAAGCAGAGATGCAGTGAAAGGTGTCCCATAGCGAATGACGAATCCAGGACAAAGAGTGAGCAAAGATCTCAGCGCAAGGGGACAGCTCAGCTCCAGCTCTGTGCTTGTGCAGGCAGTAGCCGGGCTCCAGAGCCGCTGTTTCGGTGTGCGTGCCATCTAGTGAACAAGAGAAAGAAGAGCAAACATCGTCCCTGCTACCCTTGCAAGCCTGGAAACCGGGCCCAGGGGAGTCCCGGTGGGTGCGGGTGGGGGCAGGCGGGGTGCCAGGGCGATGCGTCCCAGCCACCCAGCCCCGTCCCGCCCCGGAGAGGGGCAACAACAAACCCCGTCAGCACGGCAGAGCCACCAGCCTCTGGGGAGGCTTGGCTTGCTCAAGCCCTGGGTAGTTTGGCGTTGGGAGAATTAAACCAGCGGCCAATGCAGCAGGAGAACATGCAACAGCATTTGGCTTAACAGGGCGCAGATGGCTTTTGAAGGCAGGGCCTATGGCAGCGCCCACTCCGGCTGGGCTGCAGCGAGGGAGCGAGGGAGCGAGGGCAGATACAGCCACAGGAGGCAGGCAGCTCGGCACAAGCCCCAGCTCCGTGACTCTCTCTGCCTGCCCTGCTTTTGCTTCCCCCAGAGAGTTTCATCATCCCCATCAGAGCAGAAACGCTGCCAAGTCCTTTGGGCAGCTCGGAGGAGCTTGGGGCCCAGACGTGCCGGGACGCAAAGCGCAGAGCAGGTAATGAGGGGAGCTGAGAACGCTACAGCTGCTGCAGCACCAGTAACTTCTCAGGGCTGTCATCTCTATTTTTAAAAATTAAGAAAGATTTTTACTTTTGCTCCATTTTCAGCATTGCACCAGGGCAGAATGGTAGGTAAGAGTTATTTCTGGAATACGCAGTACTTTCCACATATTTATACATGTAAGTATCCTCACGGTTGAAGCTCCCCTCAGGCACTGCCGAGGACATGCAGATGAAGTTAAATACTCCCATGAGCTCCTCTGCTTCACTGGGATACCTTAAAAGAGGCCATTTTTGACCAGCGTGTCCCAGGGAACAGTGCAGTCCTGGTCCACACAAACGAAGGAGTTGGCTAATTATGTGTCCTCAGCTACTTCGTTTCTTACTGTCTCATGGAGCGAGGAGCCGGGCACCCTCACGCTTTGCTCTTGTCCTTCTCTCACCCCAGGGCTGCCCACGTAACCCCCCCCACCCTGCAGTAACAACTCCCCCTCCCTTTCACCACCTTGCATCCGCACTCGCAGCCTGCGATACCGCCTAACCGGGGCGGATGCAGGCAGCAGGACGACTTCCCACATGAAACCCAAGGCAGGCTCCGGAGCAACCTTCCAAAAAACACGGGGAAAACCGTCCCAACTCCCTGGGCTAGTGTCAAAGCCGCCCTTGCACGCTGTGTGTCCTTGCTCGGTGTAGGGCATCTGGATGAAAGAAATCGTAACTAAACCGGCAGGTAAAAAACTCCAAGCACAAAATGAAGACCACCCAGGCCCTGGGGCTGGTTGCAGAGGTGGCAGGAGCTTTTCTGAGGAGCTCAGAGAAGCAAGCAAAGGGGAAGATGCGATCTGTACCTTGGCCTCCTAACACATCTCCAGGACCCAAGCGCTGCTCAGCTGAGGGCAGAGCGGGGAGGAGACGGGGGGACATCCCGAGGACCTCCTTGGCCCAAAAAAGCAAGGGAGCAGAGGCATTTGACTGGTATCTTCTGTTAGGGCCAGACAAGCTAATGAAAAAGGGAAGCAAAAGCCATGCATGCATGGTTTGCGCTCCTGAGAGGACAGCATGCAATACTCCCCTTCACCAAGCAGGGTCAGCCCAGCACTGTTTGAAGACCCAGCGAAGGCAGGGAGGCGGCTGCTGCCGCTGGGGTCCCCCAGTGTCACCTCCTTGGCCAGGAGGTCCTCGCCCCCGAGCTGCAGCATGCAGCAGCAGGGCTGCGGAAGAAACTAGCTCCAGTTTAAAGAAGGGGAAGTTCAGCCTCGCAAGGTTCACAGCCAGAACCGGCTCTGGCGTTTTCTGTAAGCCAGCAAAACCCAGGCTCGAAGCAAAGCTGGTCTGAGGCCACAGCAGGTGACGAGGCAGGGAATCAAACACAGGCTCAGGTTTCCCACTATTACTTTATTAGAAGGGTCTTTATATCATAGTGGCGGCCCCACTGAAGACACTTTATTAAAAAAAAATCTTTTTATTCAAAGCCACATTTTAAAATAAAAAACGGCATCCCATCCCCCCTCAAAAACAAGCTGAGTTTATGCATAGTTCCTTCTCAACAGGAAACACCCAAAACATCCTCTTTTGAAAGGGGGAAAAACTATAACCACCCTGTAAACACGACAATCAGAAGATGCGCTCCCCTGCCGTCTTCTAGGAGAGGGACATGGTACTACAGCTCCAGCACACCTGGAGAGGGAACAGACAGTAGGGAA